CGTCGATGGTTCACGACATGGAGGTACCCGGCCTTTGCGTCTTGTTTGCGCGCCGTTGCTAAAATGCTCGTGGTGCTGTGACGAATTGCGTGCCACCACCACCTGCTGATGATCACCACCACCGCTGCGGTGATCTATTTGTGATTAAGGTGACGGCCGGGACACCGATGACGCCCAACAAGAAGAAGAGCGAGGAGACACAGCCGGAGAGGAGGGATACGTCATTCACGTCCGCATCCACATCGCGCGGCGCGACGAGCGAAGAGGGAGAGGGGAGCCAGCTGTCTTCCTCGTCGTCGTGGTCGTCGTCGGCGGCGGCGGCGGCGGCGGCGATTCCGTCATCATCATCGCCAGCCGGTCAGGACGAACCAACGGTCAACAAGCTCTTCAGCCGGTGGAAGCAGTCGACGACATTCAGCAACATCGGAAGCAGTCTCAAGGCCTGGAAGACAACCAAGGACAACGGCAATGGATCCTCCTCCTGAGCAACAACCGGTTCAGGTTGTACCTGCTTCTTCTCTTTTGCTCTCTTCTGTAAAAGAGAAAATCCAGAGGAAGTCGGCCGCTACGCGCCCAGCAAAGCGGTCGTTAACTGACTGCAGTCAGCACCTCCACCGTAGATCCCACCAATGTCGCGTTTGCGCTCTTGGGCCATCACCGAGCTATTGCAAGGCGTGAGCGATTTCTGTTCACCGGGCGATGCGGCCTGCAGTGATGGCGCGATTAAGGACAAGTGCTTGGTGTGAGACGACAGATCTGGAGCCGTCTCGCGGCAACGTTGCTACTGGTTAGCCGTTTCCTAGCTACCAGTTAACACGGAACTCGCGCCATTGGTGGTTGCACAATCCCAGCTCACGGGTAACTTGCCATGGTCACGAGCCGACCAGGTCTCAATACCGCTCTGCTCGGCTCCGCGGCCGGTACCCATCAAATCACCTCACGCCAGCACCATATAAAAATTAAACCCAGCATTGGCCGCATCTTCTTCCCAACTCGCAGCCGAAGACAACCCACCGACCGACCGACCACAACAACCCACCCACTACCTTCTCGTAACAGGCTGACTTGGTCATCCTCTAGAAGAAGAAGCAGAAGAAGCAGAAGAAGAAGCAGAAGCTCGCCAAGTCCTCAACATAACTGAAGGAGCACGAGAGTGAACGATGGAAGACTTGAAGAAGAGGGAGGATACGTCCTCGCTGCGAAGGCGACGAACCTTCACGGGCCTGTTCAGGACCCGCAAGGAGACCACCAAGTCGACCACCAGTACCACTACCACCAACACCGGTGACGCGGTCACGTCTTGCCACCGCGAGAGGAGCGCGTCGAGCGCAGACGCCGAGGCGCCGACGATGACGACCTTCACGCACGTCGTGCGCCGCGAGCGAAGCAACACGCTCGACTCGTGCTCCCCTCGCAGCAGCTCGCACGCTGCGGCCACGGTCAAGGAGCGACGCGTGACGAAGCGGGCCACGGTGTCGTTCGAGATGTGCAACCTCGCCGAGGAGCTGGGCCAGCTCGCGGCTGAAGAGGAGGCCGAGGCCAGGTGCCCCGCCACGCCCAAGGGCGCCGGGCACCCGCTTGAAGTCATCCACAAGCAGGGCGGCAAGGGTACCCTCAAGCGCAGCACGTCGTGGACCAACCTGAAGAAGTTCGGGTCTGGGGAGCCGCTGGTCGCCATGGCGAGCATTAG